TTTTTTTTTTTTTTTTTGTCGTTCTCGTCAGTCACACCTGCCCTCGGGTGTAGACTCCGCTCCCGCAGCTGAAAGGCACAGCTTTCAATGTGGTTTAGGAAAATTCGTGTTTGAATGTAGCTAATAGCTGCTGTGGTCAGTTTTTCAGTCTGACAACACGTGCAGCCAAGAACAGCTCAGAAGAACTGTTGGGTAGTGGTTAAGTGGTGATGCACAGGAAGTTACTGCATGCCTCTTGCAGGTCCCTGGGCTTCCAACCCACCTTTGGGGTGTAGGTTGTGAAGTGATTGAACTGAAGCAGAAATTTGGATGAGGCAGGGAAACTGTGAGGGAGATAAACAGTAGCATCTGATTCTGTGAATCATCTCCACTAAGTTTTTGTGAACTGAACACACGTTATAGGATGTGCTGGACTGGGTATTTGGCCTGTGTCATGTAGCAGACTGTAGTTTTCCCGTGTGGGGTTTGCTGAAGGTTATGAACGTGCCTTAGTGATGGCATTGACTCTGCTACTCCAGGCAGCCCTGCTTAGCAGGAAACAAAGCTGTGACATGGCCTCAGAGCAAACTTTACATGCTTTAGTTGAACTGCAGTCACAGCAGAAAATGTGCAGGAAAACCCACAGCTTGAAGGAAGGGAATCTGCTTTGATGCATTAAGATGGGAAGTTAATGATGTGCAGCGGTTTCTTCATGCTTTGCTTTAAGGGAATGTGTGTATTATCTCAATAAGTATTGTACTTATTTATTAATACTGTATTTGTGTAATTGCAACTCTTCCTTTTTTCCACAAAAGCAGCTGGAAGCCATTTGTGTCCAAGTTCAGCCAGGACAGATGAAGGAAACTGAAGGGCCAATGACATCATTGGCACCAATCCAGTCCAAAACTATAACGCTGAGTCAGCCAGTTGGTAGGAAATCCAGCATACCAGGAGTTGGCATTATTAATCCCCAGATAATTAGGATACAGCCTGTTTCAGGAACTGAGCAGCAGCAGCTACTCCTGCATAGTTCTTCTGAGTCTCCAGTTCAGCTGCTTATGCAGAGGCCTTTCCCATCTCACGGGGCAGTGTCTGGGGACAAGATTCCCCCATCCAAGATGGTGAATGGACAGAGGGCTTCTTGTGCCACAGCATCAGCTTCAAGGTCTCCAAAACCTACCATGGCTGCAGCCAGTTCAGCAAGTCCACCAAACCTTGAAAAAAAGCAAAAGGATGACAAGTTAAAGAAATCCTTGAAGGTGAAAACTCGTTCTGGACGGATTTCACGCCCCCCCAAATACAAAGCTAAAGATTATAAATTCATTAAAATGGAGGATTTGGCTGATGGTCATCAGTCTGATTCTGATGACTACTCTGAGCTGAGTATAGAAGATGATGAAGAAGGAAAGGTGAAGGGAAAGGATGCATTATTCAGTTCTTCAAATTATAATCTGAAACCCAAGACATTTAAATGTCAGACTTGTGAAAAATCTTACATAGGAAAAGGAGGATTAGCAAGACATTATAAACTTAACCCAGACCATGGGCAGCTAGAGCCTTCACCTCAGAAAATACCTCTAGATAAGCCTAATGGAAGTATATTTGTGGAAGAGGAAATGATGAGTCCAGCACATTTGGATTCAATTGCTGTCACTTTAAGTCATGAAAAAGCACTAGCTACCAGTCTGGAAGAAACTGTTGATTCAAAGGCTGGAGAACAGGTAAAGCGTTACTTAAAAAATCTGTCAATTCTGTGGAAAGTGGAATGGCAGTTCTGTAGCTGCACAGTCTTGTACTGCTCAGAAATATCCACTGATAGACTACATTAGGCAAATTTCCCATTGAAGTCCTTTAAAAATCAAATTGTCTCTTGCAGTGCTGCAGCAATAGCACTCTTGCACAGACACATACAACTAAATGTTCACTGAGTGTTCATTTCTTACTGTGTTTCTGACATATGGTTTTCACCTTGTCTCCATAAATGACATTCTTCTCTGCATTTGGATAAGAACACTGTTGTTCAGTTACAGCCTTTAGCATGACAGCAACACATCATCTGCTCTCATTTTCTGTTGCTGAAATAATGTCATCACAGAAAAATCTCTTATTTGGAACACAACAGTGAACTGCAGCTTTTCCTAGAGCAGGTTTTGAAAGTGAGGCATTGAAACACTGCACACAAACACTGGTGAAATTCCACCCTCTAGGGTAGAAGCTGCCTCAGCTGCAAATTTTTTCCTGTGATTTTCTAGGCTGGTCACTTCAAAGAAAAGTTTCTCTTTTAATATTGAAATCACTCTCAACATTTTGCAGCTGATGCAGTTGCTGGTTAGGATAAAGTACTTGTTTAGATGTAGTGGTGTCATGCTTATTACTTGTCTTTGTAATAGTGAAGTTGTTCTCAGGAAAGTGAAAATTTACAGCAAACAAACCTTCCCTCATCCTCTCAGTTATCATCTCTGGAAAAAGGAAATTGCAGACTACTGAAGTCTGCTCTCTGAATTATTGTAGTTTGATACAGACAGGAAGCCAATCAAGATCCCCATGCTCAACCCCTAATCCTGTGTCAAATTTAGAACTAATTTAGTAATTTAATCCCTGGATAGAACTGACATAAATTTGCCATTTATAGAGCTTTCCTAATCAGTAGAATAGTAGGGAGTTACTGAACGCTGGGATGCAAATGTACAGATTATGCAAAGAAGCCTGATGTAACTCAGTACTATTATAAACTAATTTCTTGAAAAATGCTGGAACATTCGTAGAAGTTCTATCTTGGAAGGGGAAGATGCTTAAGTAAGAAGTCACTGCTTTGAACAGTTAAAGAGTTTTTTTACACTGAAATGATGATCATAAGTTAAACATATAAAAGGCACTTTGACTTTCTGTATGATCTTATAACAGAAGCTGCTTCCTAGCTGTGTTCCTAGGGAAGACAGGCTTTTGAAATGTGTAACTGGGCAGTACATTTGGAATTACTGGGCTTGTCACTCTTCATGGTGTCAGTTTTTGTCTTTCTTATAGTCTTCATGCTTTGACATAGTTACAGTGAAACCCAAATTATTCTTTGACTATGTTTTACTGCCAATTAAATTTTATTTCTACAACCTCTTTATTTAAAGAGGATATATTTTACTTCTAAAATATTAAATGTATTTAACCCACTTAAACCACCTCTTTCATTATGTTTATTTAATCTTTTTATTTTGTATGACATCTTGTAGTTCAAAAATGCTAACTTTGCATATAATGGCATACATGTGATGCAGAAGTAGCCATGTGTTGGATTTATTCCACAACTTTCTTTGCAAGTTATGCTTGTATCCAGCTATGCATTTTTTAAAATATGCTATTTATTATTTGCATGGATGCAAACTTAATTTTAAAACTGTCTTCCTCAAAACTGTTTAAAATGGTGAATAAAGACTTTTCCTTTTAATCAAGGCTTCAGAGTGTGAGGAAAGCAGCCACTTGCTGGCAGAACAACCAAATGAAAGCAGTTCAGGACGCCGGGGACCTGTGACCCCACAAGGACCTGGAAGACCCCGACGACCAAAGCGACGTGGTCGGCCCAGGCTGGGTGGAAGGTCCAGGTGCTCTGGAAGGCTTAGCAGACCTGGTCAGTCCCCTTCAAAGTCACTTAGTAGTGTGTCAGCAGAACACAATGTATTCAGAAGAAAAGCTAGGTTAAAAGAGGTATGGCTCTCTTCTGCAATTACTTTGCAAGTGTTTTTACCCCACCCCGATTTCCCCCACCCTTTTTTTTTTTATAATTTATTTTCGATGAATAATTTAAAAAAAATTTTTTTTTTTTACATCCTCATGTATGGACAAGATGAAAGCCTCAGATGGCTTCTAAGAAGAAAACATTGTCTTTTAAGAAAAAAATACTTCCAGCAGAAAACCGAAAAAAGGAAAATGGGAACTGGGTTTGGAAAGGGCCTTCTGACATGTAGATAAATTCTTGCTACCCTTTTTCTGGATACTAGCTACTACTAGTATCTCCTCCAACACAGTAAAAGAAATAATAATGAAAAGAACCCAAAAACATCAAAACAAACCCACAGAGGTCTTGGGGGAGGATAGAATGGGGGTTAAAATCCAAGTAACACAACTTGTTCTTTGGTTTCTGTGTGTTACAGATCCTTTATGGCCACTAAAGCTACTGAGGCTGCTGTTCTTTCTATGAATTGGAAACATTTGTGGGACTGAGTTTTGTCCGTACATGAGTAGTAAAACCTATTCTGAGGTTTTGTAACTTACCCCTTTTTGGAGTTAGTTTACATCTATTCTTAAAGCTGCCTAAACATACAGCATATCTTTCAAAAAAAAAGTAGTGATATTTTATGTTCTGAAAATGGGGTGCATCATGTGTGGGCTGCTTTTTCCTAATAATCTCATTCTGGCTTTTGACAGCTAATACAACAATGTGATAATGAAGATTTAATGGAGCTGGCTCTCCCACGTCTTACAAAGCTTGTTACAGTGTATGAATTCCTCTTGATGAAGGTGAGTTTTTATGTAAAAATATTAAATTATTTTAGGGATATGTCCATTAGTACATGTAAAAAGATTCCTTTACAGACAGACATAATTTAATTGAATTTCCTAAATTAATATTGTGCAGCATGTAGATGTTCCACACATCAGTCTTACACAGGCAAAACTGTGGTAGGTCTCAACTCAAAGCCTTGCTTTTTGCAGCCTGGTTCAGTGGCATTTTGAAAATTCCAGAGTCTTTTGACTTAAACGTTTCTATTTTAAAATGTTGAACACAACAAAATTGACAGATCTTAATTTAATCTCTTTTTAAAGTACAGGGGAGAGAGAAACAAGCCCTTTTTTATTCCTCTCTTATTCCCAGGTGGAAAAAGGACATCCAGCCAAAGCTTACTTTCCAGATGTGTACAGGGAGTTTGAAGATTTGCATAACATGGTAAAGAAAATGGCTTATGATCACCTCAGTAATTCTGATTCTGTGAATTGCCAACAGCCTGTTGAAATAAAAGATGCTAAGGTAATAAAGCACTCTGGAACTATGATTGGTTGGTTTGTTTGCTTGTTTTATGTGAGATGCCTTGCATTTTTAATTTTCTGTGATAATTAATTTTCTTGTGCAGGTAAATTTATTTGAAAACAACAAGATTTTTAATTAGCAAAAATAGGCATTATTGTGAGAAGTCCAACAACTTAGCAAGAAGAAAAAGAAATCCATAATAAAACTTCAATTCTAGTTTATGTCAGTGGATGTTTGATCAGGAAGGGGGGGTTCTATATTTAAAATTAGTGACCTTGATTTCAAGAGGTAATTTCATTGCAAAATGAGGGCAAACTGAATGCATCTATGCAGTTCACAGTCACATTAACAAACATGAAAAGTAGTGACTACATTAATAAAATTGCAAACTATTATTATTGACTCCAGATTCACTGTTTATGGAGCTGTGTCTGGAAAGACAGATGAAACCTCTTTCTTGCTTCTCTTCTGTGTTCATGTGCATTCTTAAAATAGAATGATGCTCTTTAAAAAGAAGAAGACCAAACCAAACCCCAAAACAACCTGGCCTTGAGAAGCTGGATGGTAGCACATCTGTGTGAGGATGAAGCACAAGAATGGAATGTGAGGAGGGGGGAAAATCCTTAACTAAGCAGAGATACTCTAAACAGAACACTTTAATGTTTTTTATATGGTGGAGAGCCTCAATAATCCTTATTAAACACCTCTTTGAGTAACTGTCTCTGGATTCTATATATAACCATAATTCTTTCAAGTTTGCCTGTTAACAATCACCTTCAGATGAAGGTCATGTTCATGTGTCAGTGTGAAGGCTGGTAGAAAACACTGGAGTCCAAATACTTGCATGGAGCTGAGGTGATTGTCAGGCTAGACATGATGTAGCTCTAGTTCAGTTTTAAGAAAACTAATCTGTATTTCAGCATGTATGTATTCAGATCTGAGAGGCTAACTTTTACTTTTTTTCCTTAAATCTGTTTCTGAAGGTTGCTGAATCTCTAGGAATCACAGAAATACTCACTGGAGAACAGAAGATGCAAGGTGCAGACCCTTATTCACAATGTGTAATTAAAATTGTCAGTGAGCAAGTGCCTGTGGATGTACTGGGACAAAAACGGTCAGCTGAGGTATGGAACAGCTTTGTGAAAATTAACAGTGAATCTAAGACCAATTAAAACTTTTAAAAATACATAATTATTCCTTAGAAAATCATGCTATATTATCTGAGTCATGTTAAAGTAAGGCTTTTGTGAAAGTAGTCTTTGCTGTGGTATCATAGCAGGGCATATGAAGTAGCACAGTAGGTATGGGCTTTGGGAAGACACTTGGTAGCATTCAGGACAGAGTATCAGACTCACAGGTCTTTGAGACGAGGACAAAAGAACTTAATTGAGGTGCTGGTAACTGGGGGCTCCACAGATTCCAGCCTGTGTTAGAGGACATGGCCTAACCTACAGCAGATTCAGACACTGCTCATTGCTGTGCTAATTGGAGAGAGGGGCATGAAAACAGGTTATTTTTTTTTTTTTTGACAAGTCAGTTGATGAGCTTCAGTCTGTTTATAGCTGTAGCAGAAAGCTGTGTTTTGTCCCCTTGGAGTTTTGGTGAAGTGTGAGGGCCATGTTTAAATCCTTACCTCTTAGGAAGACTCTTAGTGTAAATCCTGTTTTCAAGGATCATCAGTTCACTGCCATGATGTTCCCACAGTTATCTTTTCCAGTTTTTTTTTTTTTTTCAGCTGTTACAGGCTGCAGTTAATCATCTCTTGTATTGACAGAGCTCAGGGGAAGAACTGTTGCCACCAGCCAAAAGGACCAAGTTAGAAGATGTAACAGAAAATGTGAACAATGCTTATGCCACTCAAGATGAAGTGAAAGAAGGGAGTTTGTGTACACTGTTTGGAAAAGATGGTAACTTCAGATTTTCCAGTTCTGTTCATGGATGAGCTGAACAAATCTTTTGTTCTTCAAGCTACTGTGGTTTTTGTCTTCCAGTTTCATCTCTTAACTTGCTTCCCAGGTCCTTCAAAAGCAGCTGTTTAACTGGAAAGGCCTCATGAGGAGGGAAAAGTTACAGAGGATGCAGACAGCAGTAGCTCAGTGCTGGATGCATGATAATCAATTATTGATATTATTTATGAGCATAGTGGTGTCCTCTGCTGTGTGCTCCCTGTCTGTCCTGTCCCTCTGAGTGCACAGCCTTTGTGTCAGCTGTGGGAGAGCAGAGGAAGAAGCAGCACAGTGCACATCCTTCCTCTTGGCCCCTGCCAGCTACAACAGCAGAATTACCAGAGCTTTGGGGAAAGGGAGAGCAGGTATAGGCTGTCCTGTATCAATCACTGGAATACATCTTGTATTGGAACTGAGGCACCATTTGGCACCACAGTCTTCAGGTGGTTGCCTTTCTGTATATTCCTTCTTATGTTGCATCCTGCTGCCCTTCAGATTAGCAGGGTAACAGTGAAAGGGAGGTAAATCTCTAGTAAGATATGTCATCAGTACCATCCACTTTGTAAATACTTTGTTTTGGTGTTGCTCTAAGTGCCTTTGCTTTTGCCCTTTGTATGCCTTTCAGTCAATGGTTATTTTTGTTTCCCTCCATTAGATTTTCTTTCTCTGAAAGGCTCTCTGCATGACCATGCCTACTTCTTGCTGCACTATGATTTTCTTCTGGACTAGGAGTTTTTAAAATTACATTTTGCTTGCACCTGCTAGTAGGGTGTTTGCTAGTCTACAGTGCAAAATGTTAAAAATAGTCCTCTCTGCAGTGTTAAGTCTCCTTCTTTGTGCAGTGGTATCTTTCATAACAAAAAGAATCCAAAACCAAACCAACTTACTTGTTCATTTTGAGCTTTAATAATGAAGTCTGACAGCTCATACTACTGCAGCTTAGTAGTTATTGTCCAGCTACTTTCAGGGCTTGGGATCCTGGTCAGGTCCAGGTCAAGTAACTGGTAGAACACTGCATTTCTTGTGGTTTTTACCTTTTCTGGCACAGGACAAAAGTGCTGCTGGGGCTCTTAGCACAGCTAATTGTCAAACAACCACAATGTAGCAACCTGATGACATGTCTGAGTCCAGGATGAGCTTGGTTAGGAATAGAAATTTAAACAAGTTTAAATGCTTCCACCAACTTACTAAAAGTGATGAGGGTGAGCAGCTGACAAGTTTGTGCCTGGTAAAGTCTTTTAATATTACTGGCTGCATGACAGATGGAACAAAATTGAGTTTGCCTTTGAGCTCAGGTTGTTTTCAGGATGAACAGGAAAATGCTGCCTCTAAGGTCTCTTAATATAGAAATACTTGATAAACTATCACTATTCAAAAATAAGGAAATTTAAATATTATTTTTATATTTATAATTTTAATATATTTATGATTTTATATTTGTATATTTATAATTTATAATGAATTTATCATTGGGAAATGAAACTCCTGTAAGGTGCTTCAGGTTTGCTAATTTGGGGGAAGCAAAGCAGGGAAGTAATCTAGCTTTTCCTCCAAAACTATTGCTGAAATATAGGTTTTTTGGCATGCAATATTAGATTGCCTAACAAAATAATACTTCTTCCCCCTTTTCAGGTTTTAATCCATTAAATGGAGAAATCCTGCTTTCAGAAGACAGGCATATCACCTGCTGTACAACTGGCAGTACGTTACAGACAGCAGAGGAACATCACTCACTTGCTGACTCAGGAGCTGGAATCGATGGTGCAAATTCAGGTACCTTCTCCCAGAGTGTGGGAATGAGGATGGAGTATCCCCAGGCTGCAGGGCTGCAGGGAGCAGGCCTGGCAGGTGAAGGATCCCTGCTGCACCCCGGGGCGGTGCTGCCTGTGGGAGCAGGAGGCTCGGCCGGGCCGCTCCAGGCGCGCTTTGGGAGCGGGAGCAGGGCAGGGGCAGCGGCAGCTCCTGAGCTCCACAGCTCCCTGATGGAGCAGCCAGGGGCCAGGCAGAGCACTGGCCTAACAACGAGTGCAGAAAATGGTCACACTCCAAAATACCAAGAAGAAAACCCGAATTTTGCAATTAAAGAACATTCTGAGCAGCTCCATAATGCTGATGTGACTGATGAGATACAGGAACTTGAGAAGGTGTTTTCAACAAATGTTGTGCCAATAAACTACCCCCAGAGTGCTCAGGCTGAGTCACAGCAGAACCCTGGCCAGGGAGCCTCCCTGTCTGCTCAAGGGAACCAGGAAAACGCTTTCAAACACCACAGTGAATATTCTTGTGGGACAGAGGAAGCACAGGAGCTGGCAAATACAGTTACTGTAGATGAAACTGTAGCTTTTGAGATTTCTGATGAGAGCCATGATTTTTTGTCTCAGGGACACGAACAGATTTTTATTCAGACTTCAGATGGGCTTATCTTGTCTCATCCAGACACTGCTGTTTTGTCTCAGGCAGAAGGCATCGTCATTGTCACTGATTCCAATGGTACTACAATGCACATCCGCACACCCCAAGGGATACCTTTGGAAACAGTGGAAGCACTACTGGCAATGGAAGCAGGTGGCCAAAGTGAAGATATTTTGCTCTCTCAAAGTGAATTGGAGCCATAAATTAGAAAACCCTATAAGCTTTCTTCTGGAAAAGACTGATTATAAAATGTATATTTTTCTAATGTGAATACTGAGATAATTGAAATTTAACTTATTTGTAAACTGTTTCTATGCCCTGTACTTTTTATAACTTATGTTTATATAAATTTAGCAGCATTGCAACCAAAAATTCTAGAATTAACATTGTTCTATTTGCTTTATATGTTGGGGATGGGTGGAAAGTGGAAATCTTGTCAACCCTAAAACTTGCACTGTTCCCTTTTGTTAGGTAATTCCTTTTCTCTCTAGCCATCTCAAAGTGCAGTAAGTTGTACTGCTGTGCAGCAGTGATGTGCTGTGTCCTGGCAAGCTGTATATGGGTAAAATAAAAGCTATATTAAAAATGTGCATTTTCTGTGCCACTGAGATTACAAAACACTGTTATTGTGCTTTTTAAAAGCTATCTTGAATATTCATTAGCATCTAGACTTGATGCACATTAATCTGCCTGGAAAAACGAGCAGGTTTAAGTATAATCCACAAACTTGTGCATTCTGGGAACAATGTGACAGCCTAGCTGATCCTTACTGAAATAAGCACTCACTGAGTTGAGACAAAAATAGCCTCAAAAGATCTGATTTGTACTGAACAGTTGGAAATGTGTTTGAGTTGCTTGTCTAATGTTCAGCCACACCTTTAAAAATTGCTGTTACATAGACATAAATGGGAAAATGCATAAGTAGTGATATAAGTTTCCTTAATGAGGTACCAAATTCTTTTTTTGCTTTAGTCTGTCATGGCCTATTTTTGTCAGAGTGGTATTACACTTTTTTTTCCCCCTTTCAGATGATGCATCCTTTATGACTTCTACACTTGAACCTTTGCAGTAACTCCATGCTACCTTGTACTGTTTAATCATAATACAAAGGGACTGTTGCTCTAGGCAGGGAGAAAACTTGGCAAATTACTTGAATTTCTGTCATACTTTCAATATGAGCCTTGGATCAGATTATATTTTTGTAGAGACCTCCTACCAGCATCTTGTTCAGGGCACTGTCTTTTCTTTCAAGAAGTTTAGCAGGTGAAAAAGAACAGTATTAAATGAGCAGACATTACTGAAAAGTGGTAAGATCCTTAAAATGTATTTGTCACCTCATTGCTGAATAGATGCAACTACTGGGACAATTAGACAAATCTGCCAAGGACAGGAGAATTCTTCTTAAATTGAGTATGAACACTGATATTTTTTTTTTCATGGTATTGTTACCACAAAGAAAAACATGAAAATTGAATCTAAACAGAAGACCATTTACAGATTAAATAAACTGCTCTGCTATGTCCCTTTAAACATAGTTGGGTTAGGCTTTTTTGTTTGGTGGGGTTTTTTTGTGGTTGCTTAATTAGAAGATGAATTGGATTATCCAAAACGTTGCCTTTTATGAGTAGTTGTGAAAGACACATTAATGAGTTATTAATGAGTTACTGTTTGTTTTGGGTTTTTTCCCCTCTTTTTTTAGGAGGTGGTAATTGCCAGAGGATACAAACCTACCTTGAAAGTGAAGGTAGCATACAAAGCAAAGTTCTGCTGGTCTTTCAAAGTTTTTCATTGCAGTGAGCAATTCCTTATGATGCTCTTTTGTACTGACTCTAATAATTATATTTGAGAGCTACAAATATAGCAATCAACTGCTTAGAGCTAGAATGACAAAACATCTCTGCAATGATTTTGCAGTAATCTTCCAATGCCCAACAACAGTCAATAAGCAAGAAGGTCTGTGAATATGAAAACCCCTTCCTGAAGAGCTTTTTTCCTCTTAAGAAATGAGAGCAAACCACAATTTCCACCTGTGGAGAAAATGAAAACTTGCTTCAATTTTGCCTTCCCTATCAATTTGCACATGCTGGGAAATACAATACACCTACTCTCATCTTAAAAGAACAGTTCTATATGTGAATCAATCTTTTCTCCTTGAAAAATATTTCTGAAGTACTGAGATGTTTCCATAGTGACACAGGTCTGGCCCAACTCAGATGAATTAAGGTGGCTGTTAAACTAAGTGGAACACTTCCACTGAAAAAATAAGAAAACCCAACAAAGCTGTTCCTAACTTTATTCTCCTTGAGCTGCAGCAGAATTTCTTTTTAGATGCTGGAATTGTGGGTTAAGAATAGAACTCTTATTAGCTGCCAGAAACAACCTCATTGTTAACAGAACAACTTTTCAAGAAAACTTTTTAATTCATGTCTGTCTGTCCTGCTACTGCAGGAAACTGATGAATTTCCCTTACTAACCCCAAGGTTTCAGCTTGGGGCTAATGAGGTAAGTGACCTTGCTTTTCCTATCAGTACAGAGGGACAGACACACCTTCACACCAAAACCACTTGACATCAGTACCAGTAACCCAAGGAAAAACTCACTGAGCCCTATGACAGGGAGCAAACAAGATGGGATACAGCCTTGACTAAAGCAGGTTTTGTTTTATTCACAGATGCTTTCATGAAACATCTCCTACCAAAAAAAAAAAAAAAATTAAAATTAATTAAAAGGGACAAGACCTTATTATATAATGACTGTAGAATGCTGAGTTGTACTAAACCTTCCCTGGGTGCTGGTTCAAGCTTGGATCACTCTTTGAGAGTGAAGTATCCAACAACACCAGAATCAAAACCAAACCAGAATTTGTACTATTGTCTGCAGCAGCATTTCAAAATCACATTCCAAACTATGTGGATCCTTTTGGATTCTTCTTTTTGTGCTTTCCTCCACTTATAAATCAAGTACAAAAACATTTGCCCTGTTAATTCATGCAAAAAACCCCTAAAACCATGGAAGTTCAAGAATTGCTGAATTTCTGTGGCAGAAGGGACCATGTAGGTATTTTAGGGTGTCCAGACTTGGGAGGAAGTAACATTTTTTGCTGTAAATTCTAAATGCATTGAATCCCCCAGATTGCCAAGCAGAGCCTACCTCTTTCTGACTATAGAGGACTTAGCTTCCTACCTGCAGCCTCTGTGTTGCCTTTAAAATAGATAAAAACAACCAAAATGAGATTGTCCCACACAGAATAAGGAGTATCAGCAGAGAGAAAGTAAAGAATATGAATAGAGAAAAATATTTTTAATAAGTTTTACAAAAAATCAACTTACTTGGTAAGCCTTGCAACATGCCAGTTCAGTTTCATATTAGCAGCCCTAGAAGGCAGCCATGTAACCTCTGGAATTCTAGCACTGCCTGTGTCCTGTTTCCAGCAGCATGGCTTCGAGCAGCAGCATGCTGCTGTTGTCAATGTAAGGCTGGTACAGCCACGAGGATAAATACACCATCATCAGATCCTGGTCAGCAGAATGAGCAATGTCTTGTACAATTGTTTGCTTGAGTTGTAGCTCCTTCTTGTACATTTCAGACAGCTTCAGACAAACCTCATCTGAAATGGATTGAAAAACCCAAGCACATTGAGCAGAACATTTCAGCAATTCAAAAGCTAAATTATATTTGTAATACGTGGATCATAAAAAAAACCTACCTTACATAAGCTATGCCCCAAATGCAGCTATCTTCTTTTTAACAGCATTAATGATGTTTTTACATTAGAATATAAACTGCTAAACAATTTCCTCAGCTTTGGGATGTATTTTACACACTTCTGATTTTGACATGAGCCCATATTTAACTATAGAATAAGCAGCGGTATTGGTTCTCAGGACCCACTGTAAAATAATCTGTTTATTCCTCAAATAACTGAAATTTGATTTTAAAATTTGATAATGCTATCCTATAGAACAAGCTTCACATTTAGAGTAGTTCTTGATTTTAGCTAATCTTAAGGATGCCCTCACATGCTCTGAAGCACTTCAGCAATGCATGATCAGCAATAAGTAATACCAATAGTGAAAAACAACAGTAAAAAACCCCCAACAGACCAAAACTGAAGCATTTATTGTAAAAACTGTTACTAGTTATGTTAGTGAAACTGGTAGGGAGATTAAAATTCATCTGTAATCTTTCATTGTTTGAATTCCTAAAAAAATAATCACACAAAGTATTTTTAAAGAGAGACTGATCTTGTGCTTCTACCTTAGCCTGAACTATAACTGCCTTCAGAAGGGTTTAGTCTTTCATGGAGTAGACAGCATCACTAAATGATTCAGTCACAATGGGTGTTTTGACAGCAGTTGTCTTTGTCATTCTTATTCTTTGAGGCTGGCAGAAACTGATACATTAAGATTCCTGCTAAACTGTGGTAGTGAATTAAGAGGCAGAGCTTCACAGAAGTATGATTTTCACAAAGAAGGCAGTTGGTTTGCATGCAATCAGACTTCTCTTGAATTCAGACAGTTTTAAAACTGGGGTAATACCAGATGGGAGGCAGTACCTTTTGCCATCAAGTGAATGCTGAAAGAATTAATATTAACAGTAGAGTGTAATATTTCTTTACTTGTCTTGATTGACACTGAGATCAGAGGTATTTTTCTTTGGCTGCCTGAGAATTAACTGAGGTATAACTTGCTTTTGCATTCAAGGGTTTAATTTCAATGTCAAGAAACAAGTCAAGTAGTTAAGCCTGCAGCTTAACACCAGCAAGTTGCAAATGCACCTCTGCCTGCAGAGGATGTGGCTGTTGCAGCTTGGACACTGCCAGCTGCTGACAAATTTAGTTCTGAGCTGTGATTGTTGCATGGCAGACAATGCTTGGCAGTCATCAGCAGTAACCCTACACCAAGTGATGCATTCCTGTGTTTATTGATTAGTCAATTGTAAAGGAGACAGCTCTCTCTCCCTCTCAGGCAAGACATCCAGATAAGAGGGCTTATTTTTCAGTCATAAATTGGATGACACTGATGACACAATGTAATTAGCTAAGATAATCAATATTTTACTTACAGAAGTATGATGTGGGCCATGTATGAAAGAAGGGAGCCTTGCAATTCCCAGCTCCATGGTGGAATGTTTCCAAGTCACAGATTGCTTTAGTAGTTGAAGTAAGCTTTTCCATTTTCATCTGTATTTTTGTCTGAAAATGATGAACATGGAACATTAATGAATATCTCAGGAATATTAGGCTACCATGATCTTAAGCATTTTTTGAAAACACACTATTTATTCAGGCTATTTAATATTGACATTTCTAACTTGCATTTTTTTAACTCCAGACAGGAATCAAAACTGGAATCTATATAAAGACTTAATATGAAATACACAGAAATTTTGAACACTGCAGATAATGATTCTGTTTTGGACATTCTTTTCCCACATGTAGAAATATACTAAAGCCCTCTCACTTTTTCACCACCTTAGTTTTCCTATAGCAATTTAGCAGTGGGGAAAAACATCACACCAGTACAGCACAAGCCCTCTCAAGATCTTTTTGTACATTACCATATCAAGATGACTTTAACTTCAAAAGATCAG